TTGGTCCACATTTTATGTAAAGGTCCTAGATTTTTCTTGAAAAGATAGACTGAAATCGTAGAAAAACTGCTCCATTTGTCATTGAATAAAAATTTATCTCTGATTATTTCTTGGAAATCCTCTCAAAAATGCACGAAATGCCATTTTAGAAGGTTCATTTTTCAAAATTTCCGGGGGAGCATGCCCCCGGACCCCCCTAGGAAACTCGCTCGAGGTCCCCTCAAGCAGTCGGGACGAACCCCCCCCCCCCATTCAAAATCCTTGCTACGGGCATGGATACCGTCAGGAAAGGAAGGGTACTTACCGAGTCGAACGACTGTCCGGACGCCCTGGACTCCCGTCCGCCCACCCACACCGGCACGCTGACCAAGACGGCACAGACCAGACACAGCCAGACCATGGGGGTCTGAACTAACGTCATTCTGAGGACAGGAATATTTCAAACATGCTTATGAAACAAAAAAGAAGGCAGACATATACGGAGACTACTTCACCTGAAAAGTAATGGCATTTGAGGGAAACTTAAATATACATGTAATAGGCAAAGTTGGACGCTTTTAGAAACGGTGTCTGAAACACAAAAGTACGTATGCTTACTGAAACGCCTAAATATGTTTGCTACTTTTGAGGAAAAGTAGCAAAAACAGTCTGATAAATGTTCAAAAGTCTCAGAGTCTTAACTTTTGTGCCGGTCACACAGGTTCATTCGATGGCAACATAAAATGTATACTTTGCCGTCACAACGAAAGTACGGTACGGTAAGGGACACATATGGTCAAGTAATGTTACTCTCTACTTTCCGTTAATTGTATCGTGTCAACATTGTCTAATGCTGGAACGATTTTACTAGTATGTTGAGGTCACATTTCCAAACTGGGGCCCGTCGAGCTGTTTTGATTAACGAAAAATCAACAATTTATTTCAATAATATACACAAATAGTTCCCATTTTTCTGCTTATTTGTTGTCTTTTCTTTCATACTTTTCGTTCCATAAGACTGCCCGGCCGGGCCCCGGTTTGGAAATGTGACCTCAGT